TGCGGTAAGCGTTGCGCCCCAAGTAGAATCTTCCATTGTGTTTACCGCTTCGAAGCGACTTCGCGGTGAGGAATCGTCCGGTAAATGGATGATTGGTATCGAGTGGGATCGTTCCTTAAACAAAATCAAAAGGAAGCCTTTACTTCCAGTCTTTTTCCTCAAAAAGTCGTCGAGTGATTTAAGCTCTTCAGGAAGCTTTCGCGTTTCTGCGGTACCTTTATATCGTATGTGTCAGCGGTATTGCCAGCGAATTCATTTTATTCATCGACTAATAGGTATTTCATGATGGATCCTGGTTGAGCTGCGCCAGTGTTTGATCGTTTGAAGCCATAAATTTCGAAACCGGAGCGGAGGAAGGGCAGGAAGCTGGAAGTAAATAAACCGGTTCGTGGAGTTTTTCTCTTTATCAGTATTTTTTCGGTAAAAAGCGTAATGTGCTGAATAAGGGCGTTCCCCAAAGTATTAAATAGAATAAGAAAACCTGTCGGCGGAATAGTGCAGCGCTGCTGGTTGATCGAGGGTAAAGTTGGTGAGATGATGCATGAAAATCGCAGCCGGAAAGCGGCATACCGGTATGTTTCTATAGCGATCCGGTAAGTCGTGTCGGGGTGATCTTTCATTGTGTTAATGAGCTGAAGACTTCGTTCCAGTCGTGATGAGTCTGCGTAATTTGAAGTGATTGTTCTTCAAAGTTTCCTTTCAAAAGTTCAGGTTAGTTTCATCAAACTTTTTCCTTCCAATACTTCGATGATTGCCTTTCTTCAGGTTTGCTGCGTTTCCAGCAACGGAATGTGTAAGCAAAACAGTTGCGGTATTAAAAGAAGATTCCATATCGGTATCTCCATCCTTTGATCGGTTATCGATGGAATCCAGTTTCGGGTTGCTTTTGATCAGTCGGAAGTTAGTCCTGGAGCGAGAAAGGTTTGAAGAAGCGAATTTCGCAAATAACTTCAGCCTTTGTAGTTTCATCGGTATTTTTTCATAGGTGTTACGGAAGTGTTAAATAGTATCGCGAAAACTGTCGAATAGTGAAGCAGCGAAGCTGGTTATATGAAGGGTAGCGCCGATGATAATGAAAATCGCAGTAATAATTATCAGCAGGTTTTGTAGGTGACCGTAGCCAGTTCTTCGCGATTCCTTTGTCGTATATCGAAGCTTGAAGTTGACTTCGTGATTTCAACTCCAATGATGATTTGGTGTGTAATTTGAGGGGATTTCCTTTAAAACAAATCAAAATAGTTTCCAAATCTTTTCCTTCTCAAAGCCATTCTTTGATGATTAGGCGCTTTAGGATAGGTTTTATCGAATGTAAAATGGCTGGTTCGGTTAATTCATTTGTTCATCCATCCAACGTCCCATCCCCATCCGATTCCATCCATCCATCCTGATCTGTCCATCCATCCGTCCCGTCCATAAATTGTCATCATCCGCCCGTCCATCCATCCCATCCGTCCATCCAACCCGTTTACTTTAAAACAAACCAAAAAGGAATTTTGAGCTTCCCGTAAAATCTTTTTCCCAAAAAGCCATTTATGATTGTGTTTTTCCAGGCGTTCTTTTCGCTGCTCTTGTTCGAATGCGGCGTACCTGGAAGTAAAGCATCCATTTCCTCATTCGGTCCCCGATCGAATAATTTCGGGAGGAATCATTTAGTCAAAGCAAAGCTTTTGATCGTGCTGTTCTCGAAAATCCTGGTCATGGTATGCCGGAAGCTTAAATGGGCGAAATCAACTGTGCAGCATTTTCTTCATCAGCATTTTTCATAAAAGCGGAATAAAAGCGCATTTCGGAAACTTTCAAAGGCCATTTAAACAAAAGCGAACAAGAAACCGGTATCGCGAATAGGTAGGCAAAGCAGCTGGCGAGGAGCAATCGAGTGGAAGTCGGATATAAAACCAGTGTCGGTGAAAGCATAGTTTTGCCCTGCATGTTCGGTATGAAGTGATCCCGTGGCAATTCTGGCGGGTATCCTTCCATTTCGCTAATTTGTAGTTTTAGTTATTCCCGTCCCAAATGGTTCGATTCGGGTGCGTAATTTAAAGGTGGACGCGCCCGCGCCTCTCAAAATCAAAAAGGAACGGTTTCCCCAGTTCTCAAAGTTGATTTAGTTTTTCCGTAGGTGGTTTTCATGTTCGGCACTTTGAATGTGCAAAATGGTATATTTTGAAGCGCAAAGAATCCATTTCATCCAACTCCTGACTCTGGAATATATTTCCCTGGGGATGGGAACCTTGGTTTATATCAGTGCCAGCTTTGGATCGCGGTCGTAAAGCTGTTCCCCTGCGTTCCGGACATGGAGAAGCATTTGCGGTGCCAGCGAAGAACCGGTTTAGTTGACGATATAACGAAAACGTCAGGAAGTTAGGCGTTTGCTCCGGTATTTTGCGGTGATCCTGCAGCAGTGCCGTGCTCCGGGCGATCCTTCCGGTTGCGCTTACCAGTTTCGAGCCGATCTCCCCGCGACCGTCCCGCAGTTTTGATTGATCTCTGGCGTTTAATTTAAAGTTGGGATCGCAGCCCGCGTTCAACAACCGGTAAAATAGTTCTTAGCTTCCAAACTCTTCCCCAAAAGTCGCCTCTTCGATGATCAGTTTTTTTCCAGGGAAGCTTTCGTTTCACTTTTCGAATGTATGTGTCGGGCGGTCAAGGTAAAGAATTCATTTCATTCCATCCCCAGACGCTCCGGTTTTGCGAGTGGGATATCCATTGAAGCCAAAAGCCAAATGGGATTGCCGCTTTCGTCTCCCCAACCGGAAGGAATGCTGCAGCTTTGGAAATGTGGTAGCCAGTCCCCAGCCCCAGGTGGAAGTTTCTGTCAGCATTTTTCATGTTAATGCTTAACGGGCAACCCTGTGGCATCGGCAGCCTGCGCGAACAAGAAAACCGGTCATGGAATATGAAGCGTTAGAGCTAATGATGCCACCCGGAGTGGTGAAGCCAGATGAGCGGGTTTAGAAAACCGGTCGGAAAGCGGCGCAATTTGCACCGGCGGCGGTTTCGCGTTATCCCGCAAGCCGTTCAAGCATCCTTTCCATTGTAATATCAGTTTCGAGCGATCTCCCCTGCAACCAGACACCGGTGCTGGTTTCAGTAGTGGGGATCAAACCGCGCGAAGTTCCATTTCCCAAACTTCTTCCCCAGTTTCATTTCTGGATCGGTTTTCCAGAGGGCTGCCTGGCACCTTTAGGTCAGCTTCTGCGGTACTTAAGCGTGAATCCGGTTTCATTCCAACTCGATCGAATATCAGATGGAACCCATTTATTCAAGCCGTAGTTTTGATCGCGTCGGTTAGCCCCTGCAACCCTGAGCGTTTTGAGAAATGAACAACCCGGTTCTTTTCCATCAGTTTTTCGGCGCCAATGAACTTGCTGGCCGTCGGCATGAATAGCAAACCGTAGTCGCTGAATAGCAAAGAAGATAACGAGTGGCGTGAAGCCAGGAGCGATAAAATGAAAATCAGCGGCCGCAAGCAGCGTTGCACTTCCGGTACGGCAGCGACCTCGCAAGCTCCAAAGCATCCTTCCCATTTGCGTTTTAATCATTGAAGTTTATCCCCAATCGTCCTGTTTGTTGACCGCGTTCGTGACCGTTCCCGTCCAGCATGAAGTTCATCGCAAACTTCGTATATTCCGTATGCCTTCGAATGCCGCGTTAAATCAACATTCCAACTCGACTCGAATGTTCGATGGAACCCATTTAGAGCCGTCAAAGCTGGATTCGCTGGAAATTTGTCCTGAATAAAGCCGGTGCCAGTTTGAAACGCGGCCAAAACCCGTTCCGTGTTTCACGCAACGCCACGAAACAGCAACCGCTTTAATAGCACGGCTGCTGCCGGTTTACGTAATTCCATGTGCAGTCAGGATGACGAACGCCAGTGGAAGCCAAATGTTCGCCCGCATAATTTCGCGGCGATCCCGCGTCGGCCCCGTGCCAGATCCTCCACACTCATTGAATCCCCGTCCCAAAACGGACGACTCCCAAGCACCATGCGCAGAACGCCCCGCGCCCTCCCTCAGCTCAAACCAAAGGGCCAGGAAATTTTATTTCCAAACTTTTCCCTCCCCAAAGTCACTTTCTTAGATGATTGGTATCTAGGGAGGCTTCACGTTCTATACCTTGAATGTGTATGTCGCTCATATAATTTAAGCAAAAGAATCTATTCTATCCAACTCTGACTTTGAATATATTCTAGATGGGATCCCATTGAGAGAGCCAGTTGTGTTTTGACTGTCAAGTTGTCTCCCGGTGTCCCTGACATGCGAGGAGAGTTTATAGCAGCTTAAACGTAAATAAACCCTGCCCGTGGTTTTCTATCAGTATTTTTTTCATAAAGTGAATGTGCTAATGTAGTGTCCCGTACATTAAAACACAGTATGAACAAGAAACCTGTCATGGAATATATGTGAAGCGTTGTTTAACAGACACCTGAGTGGGTGAAGCCAGGTATTTACGTAAATGAAAACTGCGGCCAGGGAAAAGCATACTCTACCTGGCATAGCCAGGCTACAGAAAGTGATCCGGCACGTGTGGGTCTGGCGAGACCTTCCATTGCACATCGGTTTTGGTTGATCCCCGCGATCGTCCCAAATGGACGAGGACTCGGTGCGCAATTTATAAGGTGGGACTGCGTCTTCCGCGCTCTCCCTTTAAAAGTACAAAACCAAAAATTAGAAATTTTACTTCTCCTAAACTTTTCCCTCCCCAAAAGTCACTTCTCAGGATGATTGAGAGCCTGCGGAGGGTTTCTATGCTCTAAGCAATTTCTTAGAATGTATGTCAAGCTATATACTTGTACAAAAGAATCTATTTCATTCAACTCTGACTTGAATATATTTCAGATGGGATCCCATTGAGAGCCAGTTGTGTTTTGACTGTCGTTGTCTCCCCTGGTGTCCCGCGATGAGAGAGCGTTTTATACAGTTTAACGTAAATAAACCCCGTTCTGCGTGGTTTTCTATCAGTATTTTTTCATAAAGTGAATGTGCTAATGTAGTGTCCTGTACATTAAACAGTACGAACAAGAAAACCCAGTCTATGGAATATATGTAGCGTTGTTTAACAGACACCTGAGTAAAGCGAAGCCGCGGTGGGATGATGTAAATGAAAAACCTCGCGGCCAGGGAAAGTACTTACCTGGCACAGGCTTTGCCAGTGATCCGGCAATAAAATCTGGGCGAGACCTTTCCATTGCATTAATATCGGTTTGTTGACTCGCGATCGTCCTGTAAATGTGGACGACTCTGGGTGCGCAATTTATAAGGTGGGGATCTCCGCGGCCCGCGCCCCAAAAACAACCAAAAATAGAAATCTTTTATTTCCAACTCTTTTCCTCTCAAAGTCACTTAGATGATTGTTTTTCCAGGGAGGTTTCTTTTATGCCCCATACCCTCGTGGAATGCGCGTGTCAAGCTATATACTTAAGCAAAGAATCTATATTTCAACCAACTCTGACTTGAATATATTTCAGATGGGAATCCCATTGAGGGTTTCAGCTGCGTTTTGATCATCGGGTTATTCTCCCCGCGTCCTTTACATGGATGGAGAGCGTTGTTATACAGCCGCAGTCAAATAAACCCTGTTCTGTGTGGTTTTCAGACAGTATTTTTATTAAAGTGAATGCGCTGAATGGAAAGTGTCCTGGGTAAGACAACAGCATGAACAAGAAACCCCGTCAGCGAATATATGCGAAGCGTTGTTTAACAGACACCCGAGGGTGAAGCCAGGATGATGTAAATGGTGAAAAATTGGCGGGCCAGGAAAAGTAGCCACTTTACTCGGCAATAGGCTTTACAGTGATCCGCGCCGGGCTTAAAAGGACCCTACTGCACATCGGTTTGTTGACTCTTCTTGGTGATCGTCCCCAAACGGAATTTATTCGGCGCACCGAGGTGTAGAACGGCGCCTGCGCCTCCCCTTAAAAACAAACCAAAAATAGGAAATTTTATTTCCAAACTTTTCCTTAAAGTCACTTCAGGATATCAGCTTCAGGAGGTTTTCATGCTCTATAATCTTTGTGCGGCGTAATGCTGGCACGTAAGCAAAGAATCTTATCGAATCCGGTAACTCGACTAAATATATTCTCGCATGGGACCACTGAGAGCCAGCCGTGTTTGACCGGCGTCGGTCTCCCCTGCGGTCCCTGGATATGAGGAGAGCTGTTTATACAAAATTGAAACGTAAATAACCCTGTTCCGTAGTTTCTTCAGCATTTTTCTGGCAGCGAATGCTGAATGAAGGGTTCCGTATTGACAAACAGGTGAACAAGGTGTCCTGGTTGCGGAACATATGCGTAGCGTTGTTTGAATACGGAATCTTGAGGTAGCCAGACGACGGTAATGAAAACCGCATTGGAAAAGCATATCAATCAAGTACAGGCTTTTTGAGTGACCCGCAAGTACGGGCCTGGGGCGAAGAGACCTTCCACGTACATCGGCTTTGGTTGACCTCGCGACTGTCCCCGTTCGTGGGATGACCAAAGTGTGCGCAATTATAAGTGGGACTGTGTTCTGCGCCCCTTTAAAACAAACCAAAAATAAAGAATTCATTTTAAATCCTTTTCCTTCAAAGTTTCAATTTCGGCATGACGGTTTTTCCAGCAGGGAGGCTTTCTTTATGTTTCCAAATTTTGAATGTATGTGGTCAAGCCATATACTTCAAGCAAAGGAATCTGGCTTCAACTCCCTTGACTTTTAGAATATGTATCGGTGATGGGATCCCCCATTGGTTTCGCCGGTGCTGATCGGTCGGTGCCATTCCCTGCGTCCTGGTTAAGGAGAGAGCGCCTTTATACAGCTTAAATGTAGCAAAACCTGCCCCGTGGTTTTCTCTACTGTATTTTTTTCACAAAGTATCGTAAGCATCGTAGTGTCCTGCACAAACAGCATGGAACAAACAAACCTGTCATGGAACATGGCGGAAGCGTTGTTTGAAGGTGACAACGAGTGTGGCGCTTGTGAGATGGAATGGAAAACCTGGCGCCAGGAAAAGCAATACTCTTTCACCCGCGCCAGGCCTTTGGCAGGATCCGTGGCGCCGTGGTCTGGCGAGACCTTTCCATTGCACATCGGTTTGGTTGATCTCCCATGGCGACCGTCCTAAATGTGGATCGACCAAAAGTGACGAGGCGGTAGACCGGTGCCCCGCGCCTCCCCTTAAAACAAACCAGGCAGAAAATTTATCTAAACTTTTCCTCCCAAAGTCACTTAGATGATTGTTTTTCCAGGGGATATGGCTTTCGCCCAAGTACCTTGAAAATGTGTATGTGTCGTCATATACTTAAGCAAAAGAATCTTATTCTTATCCAATCCCGGACTCGAAATATATTTCGCATTTGCATCCCATTGAGAGCTTCAGTTGTGTTTTGACTGGGTTGCCGTCCCCTGCGTCCCGGAGCATGAGGTGAGAGCGTTTATACAGCTTAAATGTAAATAAACTCCTGTTCTGGTGTATTTCACCGTATTTTTCACAAGTGAACGTGCCAACGTGTAAAGTCCCTCAAAAGATAAATAGTAATGCAAACAAGAAACCCGTCAAAGGAAATATATGCGGTATGCTGCCACGACACCTGAGTGCGGAAGCCAGGATGATGTAAATGAAACGCGCTAGGAAAAAGTATACTTACCTGGCACAGGGCTTTAAGCAAAGACCGCAAGGCCAGTCTGGGCGAGACCCTCCATTAAAAATATCGATTTCGGTTGACTTCGCGACCCTAAATGTGGACGACTCAAAAGTAATTTATAAGTGTGGGGACTGCGTTCGCGCTCTCCCTTTGCAAACAAAGTCCGCCTAGAAATTTTATTTCCAAACTTTTCCCCAAAGTCACTTTCTAGATGATTGTTTTTCCAGGGAGGCCGCGCCCCTTTATACCTTGGCGTGCCTGCTTTATACGCTAAAGTGAATCTATTTCATTCAACTCCCCACCTAAATATATTCGTGACATCCTCTGAGGTTAGCCGTGCCTTGACTCTGTCAAGCTGTCTCCCCAAGGTCCCGATACATGAGGAGAGCGTTTATACAGCCAAATGCAACAACCCCAGCCTGTGGCCTTCTATCAGGCATTTTTTCATAAAGTGAATGTGCTAATGTAGTGTCCTGTACATTAAACAGTATGAACAAGAAACCTTCCGTCAGTTTAATTATATGTGAAGTGTTACCAGGACACCATGGGGTGCAGCTCAGACGCGTAAATGAGCACCGCGCCAGGTGGGAAAGCATACTTCACCGCGCTTGTAGCCTTTACAGTGATCCGCAAGGCTGTGGGTCTGGCAGACCTTCCATGCACATCGGTTTGGTTGGACTCCCTCGCGATCGTCCCAAATGTGGACGACTCCGGGTGCGCAATTTATAAGTGGGACTGCGCCCCAAGCTTCCCCTGAAACAAACCAAAATAGAAATTTTACTTCCAAACTTTTCCCCAAAGTCACTTTCTACGACACTTTTCCTGCGGAGGTTTTCATGCTTCCATACCCCTAACGTACCGCTTACATACTTAAGCAAAAGAATCTATTTCATTCAACTCTGACTTGAATTTATTTCAGATGGGATCCCATTGAGAGCCAGTTGTGGTTTTGATCTGTTGCCGGTTCCCCGCGTCCCGACATTATATATGCTTGACATACAGCTGTCGTAAATAAACCCTGTTCTGTGTGTATTTTCTATCAGTATTTTTTTCATAAAGTGAATGTGCTAATGTAGTGTCCCGGTACATTAAACAGTATGAACGTGCTGTTCCGTCAGCGGAATATATGTGAAGTAAGCGTTTAATGACACCTGAGTGGGGCGCAGCCAGACGATGTAAATGAAAACTGCGGCCAGGGAAAAGCATACTTACTCGCACAGGCTTTACAGTGATCCTCAAGTAAGGTTGTGGGCCCGGGCGAGACCTTCCATTGCACATCGGTTTGTTATTGACTCTCGCGATCGTCCTAAATGTGAATGACTCAAGCAACATGGGTGTAGACTGCGTTCGCGCCTCCTAAACCAAAATAGAAATTTTACTCTCCAAACTTTCCCCTTCCCAAAGTCATCACTCTCGTGACGGATTGCTCTTTCCGGTGATGCTCGCCCCGCACCCTTGAATGTGTACGCCGCTTCGCACTTTAAGCAAAAGGAATCTATTCATTCAACTCGACTCGAACATATTCTCAGACGGAACCCGTCGAGGGTTTCAGCCGTGCCTTTTGACTGTCAAGTTGTCTCCCCAGCCCCATGTTTATATACGCTTCAAGTACAGCTTAAAATGTAAATAAACCTGCCCTGTGTGGTGGTTTTCTATCAGTATTTTTTCATAAAGTGAATGTGCTAATGTAGTGTCCTGTACATTGCCGCGCTTAAATCAAAGGAACCGCTAAATGGTATGTAGCTGCTGTTTATCAGACACCTGAGTTGGGGTGAAATGTGACGTGAAGAAAACGCGCCGTGGCGCGACATACTTACCTGGCACAGGCTTTACAGTGATCCGCGAAGGCTTTCAAATTCCAAAGCGACCTTCCACGCATTACCGGCTTTGCCGGATTCCCCTGCGATCGTCCCAAAATGTGAATGACTCGGGTGCGCAATTTATAAGTGTGGGGACGGCAAGCCTGCGCCTCCCCGAAAACAAACCAAAATAGAAATTTTATTTCCAAACTTTTCCCTCAAAGTCACTTCAGATGACGGTTTGGTGAGGCTCTTCGCCCATACCGAATGTGCGTCGCCTGCTACTTAAGCAAAAGAATCTATTTCATTCAACCCGAATCGAAATATATTTCAGATGGGATCCCATTGAGAGCCAGTTGTGTTTTGATCGTCAAGTTATTGTTCCCCCTGCGTCCTGACATGAGGAGAGCGTTTATACAGCCGGAACAAACCCGCCCCAGTGTTTCTTCAACAGTACTTTTCACAGCGAATGCCAACGCAGCGTCCCGCCACAACATGCAACGAAACCCGTCAGTGGAATATAAGGTGAAGCGTTGTTTAACAGACAACCCGGAGGGGCAGCTATGCATTACGTAAATTGTTCCGCAGCCATGGAAAAGCATACCTACCTGGCACAGGCTTTACAGCATCCCGGAAGGCTGTACCAAAGGACCTTCCACGCGCGCATTGGCTTTGGTTGGATTCCCCTGCGATCGTCCCAAAATGTGGACGACTCGGGTGCGCAATTTATATGTGGGGGATCAAAAATTGCGCTTCCCTTTAAAACAAAACCAAAAATAGAAATTTTATCTAAACTTTTCCCTCTCAAAGTCACTTCGTACGATTGTTTTTCCAGGTATGCTTCGGCGTTCTATACCCACGTATGCGCCTGCTTATACTTCGGGCTAAAAGAATCTATTTCATTCAATCCTGAATCGGAATATATCAGATGGGATCCCATTGAGGTTTTGTGCCGTGGCTCTGACCGGTCAGTTGTCTCCCCTGCGTCCCGGATACATGAGGAGAGCGCTCATGTTTTAAATGTACAAACCCCGTTCTGTGTGGTTTTCTATCAGTATTTTTCATGTGCCGGTCGTAGTGGTCCCCTGCCAGTATGAACAAGAAACCTGTCATGGAATATATGTGAAGCGTTGTTTAACAGACACCCGAGTGGGGTGAAGCTTGTGGATGATGTAATGAAAACTGCGGCCAGGGAAAAGGCCTTTACCTGGTACGGTGGGCTTTGCTGGTGGATCCGGGTAAGGCTGTGGGCCTGGGCGAGACCTTTCCATTGCATTATCATCGGTTTGTTGACTTCAAGATCAGTCCCTTAAATGTGACGACCTTCGGGTGCGCAATTTATAAGTGTGGGGATCAGGTTCGCGCCTCTTTAAAACAAAACCAAAATAGAAATTTTTCCAAACTTTCCCCTTCAAAGTCACTTCTTCTAGATGATTGTTTTTCCAGGAGGTTTTCATGCCTCTATACCTTGAATGTATGTGTGTCAAGCCATATACTTGCTAAAAAGAATCTATTCTATCCAACTCGACTTGAATTTATTTCAGATGGATCCCATTGAGAGTTTCAGCTGTGCCTTTTAATTCGTCAAGTTGTTCCCCCTGCGTCCCGGGATACAGGAGAGAGCGTTTATGCTTTAAATGTAAATAAACCCTCGCTCTGTGTGGTTTCTATCAGTATTTTTTCATAAAGTGAATGTGCTAATGTAGTGTCCTGTACATTAAACAGTATGAACAAAGCAAAACCCGTCATGGAATATATGTGAAGCGTGTTGTTTAACAGACACCTGAGGGGTGAAGCCAGGATGATGTAAATGAAAATCGCGCCAGGGAAAAGCATACCTACCTGGCACAGGTTTTACATGCGATCCGCAAGGCTGTGGGCCCGCGAGACTCCTTTCCCATTGCACATCGGTTTGGTTGATTCTCTGCGATCGTCCGCGTAAAATGTGGACGACTCGGGTGCGCACTTATGCGTGGGGATCATGCCTTCGTCAGCCTCCCTTTAAAACAAACCAAAAATAGAAATTTTATCTAAACTTTTCCCCTCCTCAAAGTCACTTCTATTGATTGCTTCTTCCGTGGGAGGTTTTCATGCTCTATAATTGAATGTGTATGTGTCAAGCCATATAATTTTAAGCAAAAGAATCTATTTCATTCAACTCTGACTTGAATATATTTCTGTGATGGGATCCCATTGAGAGCCAGTTGTGCTTGACGTCAAGGTTGTCTCCCCTGCGTCCTGACATGAGGAGAGCGTTTATACAGCTTAAATGTAAATAAACCCCGTTCTGTGGTTTTCTCTCATCAAAGCTCTTTTTCTTATAAAGTGAATGCTAATGTAGCAGTCCTGGGTGTACATTAAACAGTATGAACAAGAAAACCTGTCATGGAATATATATGTGAAGCGTTGTTTAACAGACACCCTGAGGGGTGAAGCCAGGATGATGTAAATGAAACCTGCGGCCAGGGAAAAGCATACTTACCTGGCACAGGCTTTACAGTGATCCGCTGTGGGCCCGGGCGAGACCTTCCATTGCACATCGGTTTGTTGACTTCTGCGATCGTCCCAAATGTGGACGATCAAAAGTGCACTGAGTATGTGGGGACTGCGCTCGCGCCTCCCTTTAAAAACAAACCAAAAATAGAAATTTTACTTCCAAACTTTTCCCTCCTCAAAGTCACTTCTAGATGATTGTTTTTCCAGGGAGGTTTTCATGCTCTTATACCCTTCCTAAATGTTCTACGTGTTGAATCTATTTCATCTCAACTCTGACTTGAATATATTTCAGATGGGATCCCATTGAGAGCCAGTTGTGCTTTGACTGTCAAGTTGTCTCCCCTGCGTCCCGGACAGAGAGCGCTCTGGCGTTGTAGCTTAATGTAAATAAAACCCACCTGTGGTTTTCTCTTATCAGCATTTTTTTCATAAAGTGAATGTGCCATTGTAGTCCTGTACATTAAACAGTATGAACAAGAAACCTGTCATGGAAGAAGTGTGAAGCGTTGTTTAACAGACACCCGAGTGGGGTGAAGCCAGGGATGCCGATGTAAATGAAAATCGTGGGCCAGGAAAAGCATAATTTACCCTGGCACAGGTTTACAGTGATCCGCAAGGCTGTGGGTCCGGCGAGACCTTCCATTGCACATCGGTTTTGGCCGGACTTCAGCGATCGTCCTGCAAATGTGTACACCCCGGGTGCGCACTTATAAGGTGGGGACTGCGTTCGCGCCTCCCTTTAAAAACAAAACCAAAAAATAGAAATTTTACTTCCAAACTTTTCCCTCCTCAAAGTCACTTCTCTAGATGATTGCTTCTTCCAGGAGGTTTTCATGCTCTATAAATTCTTGAATGTGCATGTGTCAAGCCATAGTACTGGCTACAAAGAATCTATTTCATTCAACTCTTTAATTTGAATTTATTCTTCAGATGGATCCCATTGAGAGCCACAGTTGTGTTTTGACTGTCAAGTTGTCTCCCCTGCGCCGTCCTGACACATGGAGGAGAGCGTTTATACAGCTTAAAATGTAAATAAAACTCCTGTTCTGTGTGGTTTTCCTATCAGTATTTTTTCATAAAGTGAATGCCAACGTAGTGTCCTGTACATTAAAACAGTATGAACAAGAAAACCTGTCAGCGGAATTATATGTGGAAGCTGCTGTCAATGACACCCGAGCGGGGTGAAGCCAGGATGATGTAAATGAAAAACTGCGGCCAGGAAAGCATACCTTTACCTGGCATACAGGTTTTACAGTGATCCGCAAAGGCTGTGGGGTCTGGCGAGACCTTCCATTGCATGCCATCGGCTTGGTTGATCTCGCGATCGTCCCAATGTGGACGACTCGGGCGCGCAATTTATAAGTGTGGGGACTGCGTTCGCGCTCTCCCCTTTAAAACAAACCAAAAATAGAAATTTTATCTAAACTTTTCCCTCCTCAAAGTCACTTCAGATGATTGTTTCTTCCAGGAGGTTTTCATGCCCCATACCTTGAATGTGCATGTCAAGCCATATAAATTTAAGCAAAAGAATCTATTTCATTCAACTCTGACTTGAATAATATATTTCAGATGGGATCCCATTGAGAGCCAGTTGTGTTTTGACTGGTCGGGTTGTCTCCCTGCGTCCTGACATGAGGTGGAGAGCGTTTATACAGCTTAAATGTAAATAAACCCCTGTTCCTGGTGTGGTTTCTTCTCTCTATCAGTATTTTTTCATAAAGGAATGGGTGCTACTCGTGAAAGCGGGTCCCGGGTGGCTTACTTAAACAGTGCATGAAATTCGGGCGAAACCTTGCTCATGGAAACACGCAGCCGTTTAACAGACACCCGAGGGGTGGAAGCTTTGGTGGATGGATAAATGGAAACTGCGGCCAGGAAAAGCATACTTTACTCGGCATTGGTGGGTTTCTATGAAAGGATCCTGCAAGGCTGTAACGGGCGGAGACCCTTCCACTGGGTAATACATCGGTTTGTTGACTTCAAGTGATCGTCCCAAATGTGGACGACTCCGGGTGCGCAATTTATAAGTGTGGGACTGCGTCTTCGCGCCTCCCTTTAAAAACAAAACCAAAAATAGAAATTTTACTTTCCGAACTTTTCCCTCTCAAAGTCACTTTCAGATGATTGTTTTTCCAGGGTACTTTCTGCCTCTATACCTTGAATGTACCGCTTCTTTCATATACTCTAAGCACCTTACTATCTAACTCTGACTTGAATATATTTCAGATGGGATCCCATTGAGAGCCAGTTGTGTTTCTTTGACTGTCAAGTTGTCTCCTGCTATGTCCCGGACATTACGAGGAGAGAGCGTTTATACAGCTTAAAATGTAAATAAAACCCCTGTTCTGTGTGGTTTTCTCTCATCATGTATCGCTAAAAGCGAACGTGCCAATGCAGTGTCCTGTACACTGTTTGCGCTGGCAACAAGAAACCTGTCATGGAATATATGTAAAGCGTTGTTTACCGCATTAAACGTTGAGTGGGTGAAGCCAGGATGATGTAAATGAAAACCGCGGCCAGGTGCCAGCATACTTACCCCGCACAGGCCTTGCCAAGGATCCCGCAAGGCTGTGTGGGCCCGGGCGAGACCTCTCCACTTGCACATCGGCTTGGTTGACTTCGCGATCGTCCCCAAAATGTGGACGAGACACCGGTGCGCAATTTATAAGTGTGGGACTGCGCCCAGCCTCCCCTTTAAAGTGTCCCAAACAATAGAAATTTTACTTCCAAACTTTCTCCCTCAAAGCCACTCTCAGATCATTGTTTTTCCAGGGAGGTTTTCTATGCTCTATACCTTGAATGTGTATGCGTGTCAAGCTATACACTTAAGCAAAAGAACCCTGGCTCTCTATCTTAACTCTGACTTTGAATATATCTCCGTGATGGGATCCCATTTCAGAGCCACAGCTGCGCTTTGATCGCCAAGCCGTCTCCCCTGCGTCCTGGACATGAGGAGAGCGTTTATACAGCTTAAATGTAAATAAAAACCCCGTTCTGTGTGGTTTCTATCAGTATTTTCTTCACAAAGTGAATGCAAGCTAATGTAGTGTCCTGTATTACTAAAACAGGCAGGCGAAACAAAACCCGTCAGCGGGAATATATGTGAAGCGTTGTTTAACAGACACCCGAGCGGGGTGAAGCCAGGATGATGTAAATGAAAACTGCGGCCAGGAAAAAGCATTACCTCTTACCTGGCAATTGGTGGCTTTCTACAGCGGACCGCAAGGTTGTGGGGCCTGGGGGCGGTGACCCTCTCATTGCATTATCGGTTTGGTTGACTTCTGCGATCGCCCTAAACGTATTCTGAATTCCGGGTGCGCAATTTATAAAGGGCGCGGCGGTGCGGGACCGGTGTTCGCGCTCTCCCCTAAAACAACAAACCAAAAAATAGGGAACTTCTACTTTCCAAACTTTTCCCTCTCAAAGTCACTTTCTTAGTAATTTACTGTTTTCCGGTGGAGGTTTTCATGCTCTATACCTTGAATGTGTATGTGCTCGCTTTTAAGTATACTTAAGCAAAAAAGAATCTATTTCCATTCAACTCTGACTTGAATATATTTCAGATGGGATCCCATTGAGAGCCAGTTGTGTTTTGACTGTCAAGTTGTCCCCCTGCGTCCCGGACAGAGGAGAGCGTTTATACAGCTTAAAATGTAATGTAAACCCCGCTCTGTGTGGTTTTCTCTTATCAGTATTTTTTTCATAAAGTGAATGTGCTAATGTAGTGTCCTGTACATTAAACAGTATGAACAAGAAACCCGTCATGGAATATACATGTGAAGCGTTGTTTAACAGACACCCGGAGTGGGTGAAGCCAGGATGATGTAAAATGAAAACTGCGGCCAGGGAAAAGCATACTTTACCTGGCACAGGCTTCTTTAGTGATCCGCAAGGCTGTGGGCCCGGGGCGAGACCTTCCATTGCACATCGGCTTCATTGGATTCCTTCGCGATCGTCCCAAATGTGGACGACTCCGGGTGCGCAATTTATAAGTGTGGGGACTGCGTTCGCGCCTCCCCTTTAAAACAAACCAAAAATAGAAATTTTACTTCCAAACTTTTCCCTCTCAAAGTCACTTTCAGATGATTGTTTTTCCAGGGAGGTTTTCTATGCTCTATACCTTGAATGTGTATGTGTCAAGCTATATACTTAAGCAAAAGAATCTATTTCATTCAACTCTGACTTGAATATATTTCAGATTGGCACAGGCTTTACAGTGATCCGCAAGGCTGTGGGCCCGGGCGAGACCTTCCATTGCACATCGGCTTGGTTGACTTCTGCGATCGTCCCAAATGTGGACGACTCGGGTGCGCAATTTATAAGTGTGGGGACTGCGTTCGCGCCTCCCCTTTAAAAACAAACCAAAAATAGAAATTTTACTTCCAAACTTTTCCCTCTCAAAGTCACTTTCAGATGATTGTTTTTCCAGGGAGGTTTTCATGCTCTATACCTTGAATGTGTATGTGTCAAGCTATATACTTAAGCAAAAGAATCTATTTCATTCAACTCTGACTTGAATATATTTCAGATGGGATCCCATTGAGAGCCAGTTGTGTTTTGACTGTCAAGTTGTCTCCCCTGCGTCCCGGACATGAGGAGAGCGTTTATACAGCTTAAATGTAAATAAACCCCGTTCTGTGTGGTTTTCTATCAGTATTTTTTCATAAAGTGAATGTGCTAATGTAGTGTCCTGTACATTAAACAGTATGAACAAGAAACCTGTCATGGAATATATGTGAAGCGTTGTTTAACAGACACCCGAGTGGGGTGAAGCCAGGATGATGTAAATGAAAACTGCGGCCAGGGAAAAGCATACTTACCTGGCACAGGCTTTACAGTGATCCGCAAGGCTGTGGGCCCGGGCGAGACCTTCCATTGCACATCGGTTTGGTTGACTCCCCGCGATCGTCCCAAATGTGGACGACTCGGGTGCGCAATTTATAAGTGTGGGGACTGCGTTCGCGCTCTCCCCTTTAAAACAAACCAAAAATAGAAATTTTACTTCCAAACTTTTCCCCTCTCAAAGTCACTTTCAGATGATTGTTTTTCCAGGAGGTTTTCATGCTCTATACCTTGAATGTGTATGTGTCAAGCTATATACTTAAGCAAAAGAATCTATTTCATTCAACTCTGACTTGAATATATTTCAGATGGGATCCCATTGAGAGCCAGTTGTGTTTTGACTGTCAAGTTGTCTCCCCTGCGTCCCGGACATGAGGAGAGCGTTTATACAGCTTAAATGTAAATAAACCCTGTTCTGTGTGGTTTTCTATCAGTATTTTTTCATAAAGTGAATGTGCTAATGTAGTGTCCTGTACATTAAACAGTATGAACAAGAAACCTGTCATGGAATATATGTGAAGCGTTGTTTAACAGACACCCGAGTGGGGTGAAGCCAGGATGATGTAAATGAAAACTGCGGCCAGGGAAAAGCATACTTACCTGGCACAGGCTTTACAGTGATCCGCAAGGCTGTGGGCCCGGGCGAGACCTTTCCATTGCACATCGGTTTGGTTGACTTCGCGATCGTCCCAAATGTGGACGACTCGGGTGCGCAATTTATAAGTGTGGGGACTGCGTTCGCGCTCTCCCCTTTAAAAACAAACCAAAAATAGAAATTTTACTTCCAAACTTTTCCCTCTCAAAGTCACTTTCAGATGATTGTTTTTCCAGGGAGGTTTTCATGCTCTATACCTTGAATGTGTATGTGTCAAGCTATATACTTAAGCAAAAGAATCTATTTCATTCAACTCTGACTTGAATATATTTCAGATGGGATCCCATTGAGAGCCAGTTGTGTTTTGACTGTCAAGTTGTCTCCCCTGCGTCCCGGACATGAGGAGAGCGTTTATACAGCTTAAATGTAAATAAACCCTGTTCTGTGTGGTTTTCTATCAGTATTTTTTCATAAAGTGAATGTGCTAATGTAGTGTCCTGTACATTAAACAGTATGAACAAGAAACCTGTCATGGAATATATGTGAAGCGTTGTTTAACAGACACCCGAGTGGGGTGAAGCCAGGATGATGTAAATGAAAACTGCGGCCAGGGAAAAGCATACTTACCTGGCACAGGCTTTACAGTGATCCGCAAGGCTGTGGGCCCGGGCGAGACCTTCCATTGCACATCGGTTTGGTTGACTTCCTGCGATCGTCCCAAATGTGGACGACTCGGGTGCGCAATTTATAAGTGTGGGGACTGCGTTCGCGCTCTCCCTTTAAAACAAAACCAAAAATAGAAATTTTACTTCCAAACTTTTCCCTCTCAAAAAGTCACTTTCAGATGATTGTTTTTCCAGGGAGGTTTTCATGCTCTATACCTTGAATGTGTATGTGTCAAGCTATATACTTAAGCAAAAGAATCTATTTCATTCAACTCTGACTTGAATATATTTCAGATGGGATCCCATTGAGAGCCAGTTGTGTTTTGACTGTCAAGTTGTCTCCCCTGCGTCCCGGACATGAGGAGAGCGTTTATACAGCTTAAATGTAAATAAACCCCGTTCTGTGTGGTTTTCTATCAGTATTTTTTCATAAAGTGAATGTGCTAATGTAGTGTCCTGTACATTAAACAGTATGAACAAGAAACCTGTCATGGAATATATGTGAAGCGTTGTTTAACAGACACCCGAGTGGGGTGAAGCCAGGATGATGTAAATGAAAACTGCGGCCAGGGAAAAGCATACTTACCTGGCACAGGCTTTACAGTGATCCGCAAGGCTGTGGGCCCGGGCGAGACCTTCCATTGCACATCGGTTTGGTTGACTTCGCGATCGTCCCAAATGTGGACGACTCGGGTGCGCAATTTATAAGTGTGGGGACTGCGTTCGCGCTCTCCCTTTAAAACAAACCAAAAATAGAAATTTTACTTCCAAACTTTTCCCCTCTCAAAGTCACTTTCAGATGATTGTTTTTCCAGGGAGGTTTTCATGCTCTATACCTTGAATGTGTATGTGTCAAGCTATATACTTAAGCAAAAGAATCTATTTCATTCAACTCTGACTTGAATATATTTCAGATGGGATCCCATTGAGAGCCAGTTGTGTTTTGACTGTCAAGTTGTCTCCCCTGCGTCCCGGACATGAGGAGAGCGTTTATACAGCTTAAATGTAAATAAACCCCGTTCTGTGTGGTTTTCTATCAGTATTTTTTTCATAAAGTGAATGTGCTAATGTAGTGTCCTGTACATTAAACAGTATGAACAAGAAACCTGTCATGGAATATATGTGAAGCGTTGTTTAACAGACACCCGAGTGGGGTGAAGCCAGGATGATGTAAATGAAAACTGCGGCCAGGGAAAAGCATACTTACCTGGCACAGGCTTTACAGTGATCCGCAAGGCTGTGGGCCCGGGGCGAGACCTTTCCATTGCACATCGGCTTGGTTGACTTCCCGCGATCGTCCCAAATGTGGACGACTCGGGTGCGCAATTTATAAGTGTGGGGACTGCGTTCGCGCTCTCCCCTTTAAAACAAACCAAAAATAGAAATTTTACTTCCAAACTTTTCCCTCCTCAAAGTCACTTTCAGATGATTGTTTTTCCAGGGAGGTTTTCATGCTCTATACCTTGAATGTGTATGTGTCAAGCTATATACTTAAGCAAAAGAATCTATTTCATTCAACTCTGACTTGAATATATTTCAGATGGGATCCCATTGAGAGCCAGTTGTGTTTTGACTGTCAAGTTGTCTCCCCTGCGTCCCGGACATGAGGAGAGCGTTTATACAGCTTAAATGTAAATAAACCCCGTTCTGTGTGGTTTTCTATCAGTATTTTTTCATAAAGTGAATGTGCTAATGTAGTGTCCTGTACATTAAACAGTATGAACAAGAAACCTGTCATGGAATATATGTGAAGCGTTGTTTAACAGACACCCGAGTGGGGTGAAGCCAGGATGATGTAAATGAAAACTGCGGCCAGGGAAAAGCATACTTACCTGGCACAGGCTTTACAGTGATCCGCAAGGCTGTGGGCCCGGGGCGAGACCTTTCCATTGCACATCGGCTTGGTTGACTTCCTGCGATCGTCCCAAATGTGGACGACTCGGGTGCGCAATTTATAAGTGTGGGGACTGCGTTCGCGCTCTCCCTTTAAAACAAACCAAAAATAGAAATTTTACTTCCAAACTTTTCCCTCTCAAAGTCACTTTCAGATGATTGTTTTTCCAGGGAGGTTTTCATGCTCTATACCTTGAATGTGTATGTGTCAAGCTATATACTTAAGCAAAAGAATCTATTTCATTCAACTCTGACTTGAATATATTTCAGATGGGATCCCATTGAGAGCCAGTTGTGTTTTGACTGTCAAGTTGTCTCCCCTGCGTCCCGGACATGAGGGAGAGCGTTTATACAGCTTAAATGTAAATAAACCCCGTTCTGTGTGGTTTTCTCTATCAGTATTTTTTCATAAAGTGAATGTGCTAATGTAGTGTCCTGTACATTAAACAGTATGAACAAGAAACCTGTCATGGAATATATGTGAAGCGTTGTTTAACAGACACCCGAGTGGGGTGAAGCCAGGATGATGTAAATGAAAACTGCGGCCAGGGAAAAGCATACTTACCTGGCACAGGCTTTACAGTGATCCGCAAGGCTGTGGGCCCGGGCGAGACCTTCCATTGCACATCGGCTTGGTTGACCCCTGCGATCGTCCCAAATGTGGACGACTCGGGTGCGCAATTTATAAGTGTGGGGGACTGCGTTCGCGCTCTCCCCTTTAAAAACAAACCAAAAATAGAAATTTTACTTCAAAACTTTTCCCTCTCAAAGTCACTTTCAGATGATTGTTTTTCCAGGGAGGTTTTCATGCTCTATACCTTGAATGTGTATGTGTCAAGCTATATACTTAAGCAAAAGAATCTATTTCATTCAACTCTGACTTGAATATATTTCAGATGGGATCCCATTGAGAGCCAGTTGTGTTTTGACTGTCAAGTTGTCTCCCCTGCGTCCCGGACATGAGGAGAGCGTTTATACAGCTTAAATGTAAATAAACCCCGTTCTGTGTGGTTTTCTCTATCAGTAT